GGTATTGTACCTTCCTTGGTGGCAATCTTGTAACTTGGAAGAGCAAGAAACAAACAGTGGTGGCAAGGAGTAGTGCAGAAGCTGAGTAYAGAGCTATGRCTSATAYCACATGTGAACTAGTATGGTTGAAGAACTTGCTACAAGAGATGGGGTTCTCGGTTGAGAAACCCATGAGACTATACTGTGATAACCAAACTGCTGTTCACATCTCTTCCAACCCAGTCTTCCATGTGAGAACCAAGCATATTGAGGTCGATTGTCACTTTGAGAGAGAAAGTGATAAGTGGAGTGATAACCACATCTCATGTGAGCTCAGGAAATCAGCGGGCAGATCTCTTTACAAAGGGATTGTCTCGAGGCAGAGTAGATTATATTTGTGACAAGCTGGGACTATATGACATATACTCTCCAGGTTGAGGGGGAGTGTTAGAATACACAAATCAGGGGTATTTTGGTAATTTGGGTTTATCTATTTGAGAGTGAAAGGTCTATTTTATTTAAGTTTAAGTTATGTGTCCCATCACTTATGAGGGACAATATGGTCTTTCTTGTAACTATGTTATTGGAGATAAATACAAGTGGGTCGGCTAGAGGTGGACTGATTTTTCCTAATCTGGCYGAACCCTTCTTCTCCTCCTTCTTCTTCTCTTCTTCTTCTTTCTCTTCTTCTTCTCTACTTTAACCTAGAATCGAGTAGGGATTTTACAAAACCAAATAAAATTTGGAGCTAATTTTTTATTATGCTATTGGACTTTAAATTAGGATAGCTGTAATCAACTTACTACCATAGCATAATGTTTGTTTAAAATGAAAGAGATAAATACCATACCGAAAGTTGTAGTTGAAAGAAAAAAAGGTAAGCAATTATTCTAATATAAATATGTTTTTTGTGCCTGAAAAACTTCTCTATCATACCCAGATTCTATTTCCATTGTTCAGAGAATAGTTTTGTTGGAAAGAAACAGAATAAAGAACTCTATGCTCTGTACCATATCTAAAGTTTTTCTGTTGGAAAACCAAAATTTGAATGGTATTCTAATGCAAGATGTGTTTCATTGTTGCAATACTAATGTCTGACAGCCAGAGGAACCACGAGTTAGAAGATGCTCCCCTCTTCTAGAGAGTGTATTACTTTCAGGTGAAACTATTCTGTATTCTGGTGACTGGAAGGCTGTTCCTGACATTTGGAAATCTTCAGCTGAAAGGTATGGTGGTCTGATTGCCTTAGTGGATCCATATCATGATCCGCCATCAGAATTGACTTATAAGCAGGTATTTTGTAATACTCTGTTGCATCTGCTTAGTGTTGAGAACATAATTACTCTTTCTATATATCTCTCTCCCCTTTTTTTTTTCCTCCCTGTGAGGTTAAGTCATTCTTGTGTGTGAGAGACTGCCAATGTGTGGAGTAAAATAATTTTAGATTTTAGAATACCAATACCATTTGTAAATACATTGTATAGATTTAGTTTCTTTGAACTTTTCTGCATATTAGCTACTTTAAAAGATCTGATGAGGCTGATATGATAAATTTGGATTTTTATCAAACTTATCAAAGCACCATTGTGCTATTGTTTCACATTTCTCTTAAGTGGGAAGTTTCTTATCACGATTAACAACCTAATGGTGAACTTGGAAATTTAATTGATAAGTTGGTTAAGTTTTCAAGAAAATGGGGGTAATGTATGAACATATGACAAGGGTTTCTATTATTGGTACTACATTTGGTCTGTGTTGAGACTTTTGTGATTGGTAGCAAGATCAAAGAGATTTTATTAGACGTAGTAATAATGCACTAATAAGGGCAGCCCAGTGCATGAGGCTCCTGCCAATGTGGGGTCTGGGAAGTGACAGATGTATGCAGACTTACCCTGCACATACAGAGAGGCTGTTTCCAATAAGAATAATGCACTAATAAAACTCCCAAAGTAGGAAGAACAAGAGAGTAGAGCATGCTGACTTTCCTATTCTTAATACATGAGGCCCTTGGTGACTGGCCTAAGCCTTATTGAATGACCACAACATATCTCTTGTCTCCCTAACTCTAGTGAATGTGATAGAGACTAGAGGGTTGGCTCATCTTCATATCCATTTGACAAGATCTTCATAATTTAAGTCAAAGATCTTGCCTCTCTATCACAAAATATTCATGGTCCCCCATCTCAATTTCTCATTCATCCTACTTGAAAGTGATCTGCAATGTGTGAAAGAGAAAGAAAGAGAGAAAGAAGAGATAAAGGAGAAAGAAGAATAGAGATTGAATGAATGAGTGAGAAAAAATGGTCTCACACCTAGTCTTTCTATTATTTATGTAACAGTTACAAAGCATGTGCAAACAAACAAATATGCCCCCTGTTACATAGCTCAAGTATTGCTACACTCCCCCTGAAGTAGAGCATAGATGTCCATCATACTCACTTTGCTAAGAGTTGATCTATTGGGCTGTAGGCTTTGTTCTTATTTCTCTTTATGTTTATGGGCCTAAGGGTCCATTTGGTTCACAGTTGGAATTGGAATTGGAATGACCTATTTCCATAGTCTGTTTGGTTCAGATAGGAATCGGAATGGGAATTGGAATAACCTGGAATGGGATTTCATTCCCAAGGGAGGGGAATTTCCCTCAAATGGGGGAATGCCATTCCACCCGTTTTGTTTTAACTATTTCTGAAATGGTGTTGAGTTGTATCATTCCACATTATCCGAACGAAGAGTCTTAATATGAATATCAAATTGGGTACGAATTTCAGTATGAAACTTTTAGAAAATAGAGAACAATTTACTTCTATCTTTGATAAGATAAAGCCATGTCATTGTTGAATAATCATCAACAAAAATTATAAAGTACTTGTAGCCATTGTACGACACTACTTTATTCAGATCCCAAACATCTGAATGAATTAATAGAAAAGGACTCAAAATGCAAGTATCAAACCTAGGACTGAAAGAGACTCTGGTGATTTCCAAACAGACATGACTCACAATCCAACAAAGAAAGATGACTTAATGATGGAATAAGTAACTTCAGGGCTTTGAGAGACAGATGACCAAGTTTGCAGTGCCACTGGAAAGGAGTGAGAGAAGACTGAAGTACTTTCGGGCCACCACCATGAAGGTAATACAACCCACCTACTTCATGCACTCTTTTAGTCTTCATCACCGCCTTCAGATCTTGAAACACACAAGAAGGTAAAAGGTTATGGAACAGTTAAGAGATTTAGTCAATCTACTAACAAATATAAGGTTAAAAGGAAATTTGTGTACATATAAGATAGAGGATAAAGATAAAGATGTGAGGTATACACCACTAACACCATGAATGGGAGTAGAAATATTAGCAAGGGTCATTGTTTGAGATGTGGAAGACTGGGAAAAGAGAAGAAAACACACATGGAGACCCAGTCATTATCATTAGAGGCTCCAGAGTCAATAATCCAATGTGAAAGTTTGGATGCCAAACAAGCCATACTTGAATAAGGACGAGTGGTTGTATTTTGCTGAGAGGATGTTTGAAGAAATTTCTTATATTCATCACGCAAGACACTCACCACTTCCTTCCTAGAAGCACTTGCAGATGTGGAGGTTGTCTGATTAGCTTGTTGGTTTTCACCAAATGTGCCACCACCACCAGTTACAACATGATTGGAAGTATTAGGTGGACCATGTAACTCATAACGGAAATTAACAGTATGCCCTTCTAATCCGCAATATGTGCACCTTCTAGGACCCTTACTYCGTCATTTACTATGACCTCCCTCTGAATCTCGACCTCCATTACGACCACCGGTACGATTAAACATAGAACCACTTTGGTTCCTTGGAAATCCACGTCCACTTCCACCACCTCTATTCCCACGACTTCCCCCTCTCGCCACCACAAAAAATAGACCTGTCCGAAAGGATGGAATGCTCCATAGGTTCAATAGAAATCCTCTAGAGTCGGGCAAACACCTCCTCAAGAGAGGGAAGAGTAGATCTGCCTAATATTTGCGCCTGAACAAGTTCATAGTCAGGTTTCAGTCCCACTAAAAACCTTGTCACATCAAGTTGTTCTCATTGCTGCTATTGAATTTTAACATTTAAAGTCAAAGTGTGATACACATTAAGCTCATTATGAAGATTTCAAATACTGGCATAATACTTCTTTAAGCTTTGATTTCCATGTTTCAGGTTAAAGTACTTTTGATAAAGTTTGTTAGACAGTGTATGCCCTTAGCTCCAATCAGATTGATGTACATTATGACATTTATTGTAAATGAATAAAGCACATATTTGATTCATGTTCTTGTGGTGTGTTTCTGTGTAATACCCTTAAATTGGACACTTATGAGACTCGTGTTAGTTTAGAATGTTCACAG